TACCCATCAATTCCTGGGCCTTATTTTTGCCTATTCCTTCAGAAAAGCTTGAACTTCCTCTTTTACTACCACTAGTTCTTGTTTATATACTACTTCCTAAAATGCTTCTGTGAAATTGTTACTGTGATTCTATATATTCCTTCCATCTTTTTTTATGCTTCCTTGATTACTCAATATTTTTCTAATGATATATTTATGTATTATAACTTAAAACTTGAATTTTTTCTTTAGTTACTTTAGCTGTATGATAATGCAAAATTAGGAGTTTTGTGGAAAGTCCAAGTAGTGGCTCAATTATTATGTTCTTTGTTAAAAATTCAGGAGGGAAATATATTGACTTGTTTTGGACAATGTAATTATTTATCACATATTTAATTGTTCATTTTTGTACTATCTTTTCTTTTAAGACTTTCAGATTTTCAAGGGACACAATTTGTTGTGTGTCTGCCTTTTGAATAGTCCATAAATGATGTTTAAAGTTTTTTTAAAAAATGCAGATCATAATACTTTATCCACAAAACCAAAAATGATTTCAGTATATCTCTCAAGTTATATAACTTGTCCAGATTTTACTTAAATTGGATCAAAAATCAAAGTCCATGTAAGCAGCAGTCAAGGAATCAAATGGCTTAAAATGAAATATACAAATCTGCTGTAAAAAATTAGTTTAAAATGTTGAAAAGGAAAGACAAATCTTTTGAGAACTAAGGTATTCCTGACCCATGTCTTGGTACTTTCAAACACCTCATATGCATGTGAAACTTGAACAATGAATTGTGAAAATTAAAGAAGAATTGGTTTATTTAAATTGACATGTTTGTGAAGAAAGTATGACTTGCCAGAAAATTGAACAAATTTGCCTGGGAAGAAGTATCCTGATAATGTTTCTTAGAAGGGAGAATATCAAGACTTTATCTTAGATATGTTGGATCAATTACTAGAGAAGGTAATCGTATTTGCCAAAATACAGACTGAAAAAAAGTGGAAGAAATTCGACTAGATGGATTAACAAGGTGGCTACAATGGCAGAATCACACATGGTAATAATCATGATGATGGTATAGGACTGGGTAGCACTTAATATTGTTGTGCATTAGGTCATTATGGGTCAGACTGATTTGACAGAACCTGGCAAAAACAACAGATTAGGAAAAGTTCCTCATAGTAAAAGAAATAATT